CCTTTGAGCGGCGCGCGTTGGGTGTCACGGGGAGGGGGGGCGAGGTGGCCGGGCTCTGGGGGGCGTCAGAGTGACGAGGCGGTGACGTCAGCGGCCGGCACCCCAGCCCCAAGGAAGGGGCGACCGCGCGCGCGGCGCGCGCCCTGCGCCCCGCTCGGGCGCCCGGCCGCCGGGTGCTGGGCGGCGGCGGCTGTGACGCACGCAGGGCATCTAGACTCGCGGCGCTGCGCCGGGTCGAGGCACCCCTGCGCGCCCGCAAGGCAACCGCAGCGTCAACTGCCGCCACGTGCCCCCCCCCCACCCTTGCGTATGTCGATTGTGTGGGGCTCGTACTCCAGCCCCAACTCCTCCAGGGCTATGCCAATCTGGATCAACGAGGTGCGTTTATGATGCGGGTTCGGTTTTCGTAAGCGGTAACACGCTGATCAGCTGAGGGTGTGCTGCACCTGCGCGGGCGCCAGGCAGCTGGCCATCGCGGCAGCCGTGCAGGTAGGGAATCGTGCTGCCATACACTCGCCTTTTGCCCATTGGGCGTGGCGACGCTGTAGAGCTGGATCGCCTTCGCCATGGTGCGTGACAACCTGGTGACGAAAGTCGACGATCTGGCCACGGAGTGGCTGTATGTGGGGCGCCTTGCAGCAGCGCTGGTCGTCTTTGACAAAGCACGCATTATGGCAGGGCAGCAGGCCTTCGGAGAGTCCAGAAAGTGTCGCCGCGGCACTGCGGGTTACGCTTTAGGTGAGCGTGCTGTTGGTTGAGAGGCGAAGCCGAACCAGCGCTGTCACTGCGACTGGCCGGCCGCGCCAGGTCTACATGCATTGGGCTTTGGCGCGCAACAAACCGCAATCACCCTCAATGTCGATCGCGATCGCGCGGCATCAGGCTCAAATCTAAGCGCCTGGACCCCTGAAAACATGATGGTCCGCTTGACCCGTTGCCTGCACACTGGCAAGCAATTCATTTGGGAGAGTGGACCGCCGCGGCGCTTGATTCACTGCCCGCACTTTCCACGCAGCATGGCGCACACCCGCCAGCGATTTGGCCAGGCAAAGCGAGCTTTGCGACGTCGCCTCTCCGCCTTCCATTGTCGCGTTAGCGCAGTGCTGCTTCGAGTCTGATCAGCGCACTTTTGCTCCAGAATCTTGCAACTGGGCTGCCAAAGCCGTGCTTGAACAGTGGTGCCGGCTCAAGAAGGCCGGCGGCCCCGCCCACTGGGCTGGAGCAGGCTCGCACAACTCCACAGCGGCTGCGGTCGCCAATGGCCCATTTGAATTACACATGCCATTTTAACACCTGGAAGCAAATTCAAAACCTGACAGCCACCCGATGATTCAATCTGAACGGTAACACGTACACATTCAGAGGCAGCGCCGGTCCACACGTCGGCGGAGGGTCTGCTGGTCTCAGACAAACGCGGCAACGGCGGGCGCAGCTCGCGCCCGTGGGCAGGCAGACAGGCGTGTGTGTCTGCGCCCATCTGCAGCATGCCGGCTCGGGATCAGCGGTCTGTGGCGTCAATTACACCGAATCATACAAACTAAAAGCAGGCATGACAACTGGCTGGGAAGCCCGCGTTTATACAAGGCGGTACGCGCTGAAAAAGCAGCTGCTGACGGCGGCGCGACGGGCGGCCCAGAGGGCAGCGGGGTCGCGCGCCTGCTGGCGACCAGCGTCTGTTCCGCACGGTCGGTCTGGGGGAAGGGGGGGTGCGTGGCGGGGTGCTCGTCCGGCAGGCAGGTGTCACTTTGGGAAGGGCGTCACATTCAGGCCGGCCTGCGGGCGAGGGGGGGTCGTGCAGCCAAAGGGGGGTTGGGCGCGGGCGGGGTCACGCAAGGCGGAGGGCGGGGCCGTGAGGACGAGGCGAGGGCTGGGCGGCAGGATGATGGACTGTTGGGGACTAGGGTTTCCAGAAGGTTCAGGAGGGACGTCACAATTACATCCAGACGAGAGACAAGACAGACAGCTTGCGGCACGCATCGCTCAGCTGCCTGGCAGCCGGAGGGGCGGCCGGGCAGGTCAAGGGACAGACTGTCTGGTGGCGGCACGATTCTGCATTTGTTGCGGGATTCTGGGTCTCGTATCATCGAGTGTATTGCGTGTTCAAGGGGTTGAGGGGTTGGGGGAGAGTCCCCATGCAAGATTTGTGCGCGCGGCCGCCTGTGTCACGCCAAGGGCGCCCACAGCCACCCGAGGGCCGCCCAGCACCAGCCCCAGCGTAACGGCAGGGGAAAGCTCTGGGACACCGCATCACTCAGACCAGATTAGCCAGATCATTACAGTCTGATCATACCACACATATTCCCGCAGGCGGTCCGCACCTTGGACGCCGGCCGCGCCTCGCAGCGCGCGACCCAATCTTTGACGTTCTTGAAGCTGTCCAGCTCCACCACGTCGGCCGCATTGTAGCCCGTGTCCAGGCACCGCACCCTAAGATGCACGCGGGGGCGACGGATCAATGCCGGGTGCGGGGCGAGCATTGTGACAGCGTGGCGGGGGGGGGGTGCGAGGAGGAGTGGCGGAGGGAGGGATTACAAGGCACAGGGTTAGGACGCGTCTTGAACGGAGGATGCAGCGAGAGCTTGTTGACCGCATAGATAGGGAGGCGGAACTCATCAAAAAGAAAGGGCCCTGCGCCGCACCAGGGTCGGCGATGACGTCAGCGAGCGCACGCGTGCGCTCCGAGCTGATGGTTTGACCATGCGAGCTGCAGCCGCGCAGCAGCTGCTAGCTCGTGTGCCCCCCAAGCAAGGCAGTAGCAAGGCCGTGCCCAACTCGCAGCCGGGACCACGCAACAGGTCCCCCTAACTGCCAAGCGCAAGCAGCGAGACTACAGCATCAACATATGATTCAAAATACATGTCGTCATTATTGTTGGTTCAAACGTATGTATGTAATCACTCACCATGGGAAGGTGGCCACGTCAGCCAGGGTGTACTCTGACCCAATTATGTAATCCCGCCCCTCCAGCTGCTTCTCCAGCACCGCCAGCAGACGCTTCACCTGCAGGCAAGGCAGGGTGGCGTCATAATGACGTCAGGGTGAGGTCATTAGTAAAAGAGGGCGCAGCGCGGGCGCAGGGGGTGGGGATAGGTTGCGACCGGGGTCGCTGGTGTGGGCAGCAGGTCCGGGTAAAGTGACGCCACGCCCCGCCCGGGCGCGACGACACCGCACGTTTTGCAGCTGCATGCACACTGCATGCACAACTGCCCGCTTTGCATCCACTCAGGCCTCCCAGTCTCAGCAGGCAGTTGGCGGAGCACGGCCTGCATGAGGTCAGCGCGGCTGAACCAGATCGCTCCACATCACTGCAGATCCCGTGGTGAAATTACCAGTGCCTGATCTCGCCCTGCCGACTCCCACCTCCGTCTTGTAGCGGTTGATGCCGTACTCGATCTTCTCAGGGGCATACCTAGATTGGGTTTCGGCAGGCAAAAGCCTTCATTAGTCCATTATTTGAGCACTGCCTTGAGAAGGAATTAACTTGCTGGGACCTGATGAGGGCTCCGGGCTGGGCGCAGCCAGCAGGTGGCCGGCCGGAACGTGAGGCAACCCGTCTTTGAATTGAAGAGCCGCGCATCCCAGTGCGAGGGGCGGTGCGAGTGAGTGCAGCGCCGGACTGCCTGTCTTGCCCTGCTGCGCTCTGCCAGTCCGGTGAAGTGAGCGCTCAACCCTAGCATACGGCCATCTCCTCGCTTGCGCCCAGGTGCACCCCCTAGTCAAACACAGGTTTGACCGTGCCGCAGCACCCTGGAACCGCCCGGTTCCGTGAACAAACATGCTCACTTGTGGAAGTGACCGAATTGACCGAACATGGGGCCGACCCTGGGAGACAGGGGAGGGATTGATGGTGCAGCGGGGTGGATGCAATGCGCTGCGATCAATGGGGGTCGCACTGGGGCGGTGGGGGAAAATGGTGTACAGGATGAGCGGGGGTCGCCACGCACGACAAGCAGCTGCTTGCAGCGGCAGCCCCCGCTCGTCTGAGCGTGCCGCGCGTGCTGCCTTCGACATACAAAAAACAGCCCGATTCGGCCAGCGCGTTTGCTGCCAACCACTCGGCCGAAACGATTGCCAGCAGCAAGGGTGCACGATCATGGGATAAGGCCCAAGAACAGCCTCGCCCGGCAGAGCAAGGCAGGGAGCCTCGCGGCTCGCCGCCCCCGGCCGTTGTGGCAGCACGCGCCGCGCACGCAGCCCCGCGGTCGAGATGGAAAGAACAACAGTCGGGCGGCGGCTCACCCGCCGATCTGCCAGAACAGCCAGCTCAGCGCCTCCCACTTTTGGGTGGGGTCCGAGGGCAGAAGCTTCCCTCCCGCCTTTTCAGACAGGTACAGCAGGATGGCGCCAGACTCAAACACGGCCAGCGGCTTGCCGCCTGCGTTCTCAATTAGGTTGATTGGCGCACAAGAATATGATTGATGAGATTAGCGGGGTGGTTCGACATGCACACACATGGAGCATGCCCACAAAACAAGGCCGCAAAGGCGCGCTCGTCGCTAGTCGGCGGCGCCGATCAAAGGCCTTTGAGTGCCAGGGAAAAGTGGCCCATGCACCCACACACAGCTCCGCCCTTTTTGGAACCCCGTGGGTCGACACCAGCCAGCAGGCAGCCGCCCATGAGACGGAGACAGGGACAGAGGCAGAGGCAAGCACCCGACTGAAGACAGGGGCAGAGCCCGGGGCGGGGACAAAGACAGGGGCAGATGCAGGGGCAGGGACAGAGGCGGGGGGCAGAGACATAGGCGGGGGCCCCAGCTCATCAGCAAACCCAAGGCAGCACCCACCCGGGCCGTCTGGGTCCACTATCGCGGGGATCTTGCTGTTTGGGTTGATCTTTTTGAACTCATCTGAAAACTGGTCCCCTGGGTTTGAGGGGGTATTGCGGTTTTGAGAATGGGGGGCTTGGGTTTGGGGTGGTGGGTGGGAGCAAGGGCAGATGAAGGGTTGGGGTGGACCAAGTGGGAGCTGTGGGGAGCTGGGATTGCGTGGTGCGCGGCGCACCGGCGTCCGGGCTCTTGCGCGGGTGAGGACGCGTTGTGAGAGCGCGGCGCAGCGAATGAGCCAGCGCTTCCATACACACCCGCAGACGCGTGTTGGCTGTCATGTATGTGCCTCTCGCAGGCTCAACCCCTTTGTCTCTTTTTGGGGGGGGGGCGGTAGGCAGGCCCCACATCCACCCAGGATGGCCAGCACGACGCGGGCTGCGGGCAGCACCCCCCGCCGCTCGTGCGCACGACCCGAGCGACACGCGCCGCCGCGACACGGCAGGAAGCCCAACTAACGTCCCCGCTGCGCCCGCGGCGGGCGCAGCGCCGCCGCGGCTGTCTGCTATCTCCTGCATGCTCTTGCACAGGCTGCTTGGGCGCGCGCGGCATCCCACCAGGCGCCCCGCGCCCCCTCCCACCCCCCCTGCCCACCCTTGCGTATGTCAATGGTGTGGGCCTCGTACGCCAGCCCCAGCTCCTCAAGGGCAACGCTGACCTGTGATAGGTGACGCGACATGCGGGGTCGCATGGGGTCGGCGATGCGGCGGACATGGCCCCATGAGGCGGCGCTCGACCCAGGTGCCCACTGGGCGGCGACACCGGCGGCGAGGGCGAGGCAGGCGCGATCGAGGCCAATCGTGCCTACCTTTTGCCCGTTGGGCGTCGCGAGGCTGTAGAGCTGGATCGCCTTCGCCATGGTGCGTGACGACCTGGTGATGAAGCGCGATCTGGCAGGGAAAGGGCTGTGCGCGTGCCTGCTAATAAAGTGAGTATCAGGTGCGCACATTGCGGGGGCAAAGGGGCTGGGGCAACTTGCAATGTGACACATGTCGCCCTGGGTGACGCCGCAGCTCGGGTGAACGCGTGAGCGTTGCTGCTTGAATCTGAAGGCGCAGCAGCCCTAGGTTCCTGCGGCTATATTTACTTGCATTTGATTTCATTGTATCGCTGAATACACCAGCGGCGCCACGCAAGGTTGGCAGCGCCGCGTGCGGCCCCAAGCCATGGGCCGCCCCCGCCCGCACCCAGCAGCTGCCCGCAAGCCGAAGTGATGCATGACAGCATGTACAGACGATGGTGCATGCAGGCCCAAGGGGGAGCGGCAGGGCCCAAGGGTCAGCGCCCAAGGGTCCACTTCTTGCGAGGCGCTGCGGCTGTCGCGCTGCCTCGACACACCAGGTCATAAATGCAATGAGCTGGCAAAGCGCCAACCAAGCAGGAGGGGGATCAGGCCTGCTGCTGCACGGGGTGCCCGTGGCTGACTGCCGCTGTTGACCCGGCAAGCTTGGCGGTCGCACTGTTTCGTGCTGATACCCCCACGCACAACGACGCGACCTACCTTGATGCGTAGGATTAGTTGAGGGCCAGCTGTGGTGGGTACAGCTGTGGTGGGTACAGCTTGGGGCTGACAGGCTGCAGGCTGCCCAAAAGGTTGCTGACTTTACATATGGCCGTCTGAGTCTCTGGCTGGACGCAAACCAAAGCGTCATAGACACTCGCCACAGCCTATGATTCCCAGGAGTGAATCTGCAAAACCAATCCAACAGCAATCCAATCATGAACACAATTCGGGTGACACAGGGGGGGGGGGGACTCGGAACAGCAGGCAAGGGGGGCAAAATCAGGTCAGGAAAAGGCTAATCAAGGCAATACAAAAGGGGTGGGGCAGGGGTGTCGGCACGGTGTGATGGCACACCGGTTTAAGGTGGGAACAAGGCAGCAAGCCAGACTCGGCTGTGCCAACAGGTAAGACAGCTGTACGCTAGTGGCTGTCACCTCAACACATGTTTAGTGCGGCCATCCTCTGTGGCCTGGCCGCGACCTCCACGGGTGGCACCCATGCTTGCAGGCCTCGGGAATTTTTTGACTAACAGAGGAGCTGGGCACATCGTCCCGCGCGCTGGCGGCACACAGCCAAAGCATACAGTACTCGACAGTGCGATACAGAAGCGCCTGGTCTCAGGCCCCAGGCTGCCCCTTGCGTGCATAGGTCACATACAGGGCTGTGTCACTGTGTGGCATGACATGCAGTGATGATCAACTGAAAGGGGGACGGCGGGCAACGGATCACGCAAGTTGTGCGGCGAACAGCACACGGAGATCCGCCCAAGCGGCAAGCCCGTCCACCAGTTGTGGAACGTGCGCGTGTGCAGCAGGGCATGGTGTTGCTCAATACAACACAGCAAAGCCCAAAAGACATCCGCGCAGGCATGAGCAGACTGAACCAGGCAGCACCTGCTTGCGGCCTGATTGAGTGCCATGCCGCACAGTTCCTAACACATGGCAACGGCAATGCTTTTGAATAGGGAAGATTAGTAAGCAATGCATAACACGAAGAGGTTGCCGGGGCATTCATAAGTGGAACTTGTTGCTATCCATAAGCCACCGGTTGCAACTGCATTAGTAGCTTTGGCAAAGATCCCAGATGCGTCAGAGGTGAACCCGTTGCATGTATCGGATGAGGCCGCGCCATTTCCAACAGACCCCGACCAAAAGATGTCACGATCTGAAGTAAATACCCCTGCAGTCACCAGCGACAGCAAAGGTCCGCCTCCCAACAGGTTTGCAAAGCTGCGGGCCAGGACAGTCCCTCCCGGCGACTCGACCGCCAGGCCGCTGGGGACGCCGTACAATGTGGTAAAACCGGCGAGCTGGTCGGATGAAGATGTTGACAGGAACGCGTGCACCTGCACGAGCCCGGCCGGCCGGTTGGCGGAGGCGCTGCACAACGCGTCTGCACCAGACCTACCACCAAGATTACCGTTCCTTCTCGTCGAGGATTCTCTGTAGAGCACCACCCGCGCGCGCAGGTACTGCGCCGCAGGCACGCCCCCAAGGCTGACTGCGTTGATGTTGGCCAGGTCGGCAGTTTTTGCGTAGACGGAAAAGTTGGTTGCAGACACATTGGCTACATTGGCTGCCAGGGTGGCGAGGCTGGTGTTGGCCGCTTCGATGGTTGCCGCGCCTGTAGTGACTGTGAACTTCAAGGACTCCAAGGTCGCGTTCGCCAGGGATACTGCAGCCGCGTTCGCCGCCTGGGCCGCCTTGATGGTGACTAGGGTGGTGTCGACGGCCGACAGTTCCGGGCCGCAGGTGCACTGCTGCTGCGCAGCCTTGAGCGCCGCGATGTCCTGGGCCGCGGTCTGGTTTGCCGCCGCCAGCAGGGCCAGCTTCTGGGCGGTGCGCGTGTCGGCCGCTGCAAGGGCGGCGAGCTCCTTAGTGATGATGGTGCCTGCGCCGGTGGCGTTGGCTGCGTTTGCTTGCAGCTGCTGCACAAGGGCGCTGAGCGCCGCGGCCGCCGCTGTGAGCTCAGCCACCTGGGCCCGCAGCGCGGCCGTCTGGTTGCTCCCCTGGAAGGCAGTGGCCTGCACAGAGCTGACCTGGGCGGCGGCGGCAGTGATCTTGGGCTCGAGCGCTGCCAGGTCACCCGAAACTCTGTTGACCTGTGCTGTGGTAGCCACGCCGCAGCCGTAATGCAGCTTGGTGGGGTCCTGGGGAGTGGAAGTGTGCCGCTTGGTCAAAGGGTGAAGCAACCAGTTGAGTTTTGGACATGCCACCAGATGTCCAGAGTGGTACTTGAAGAGCTGCAGCTGGCCCCCTCCACAAACAACCAAGCACGGAACTGCTCTCTATGTTGTCGCGTGCGTTGGCCTGTGCGTGTGCATGCGTGTGCGCACGCACCTTGCTGTCAGCCGTTGCGTTGGCGGGTGCCAGCAGCTCGCTGCATATCTGGTCCATGAGGGCGGTCGGGCCGGCCTTGGAGGAGCACGACTTGGTCAAAGCCTTGACAGGCGCACACTGCGTGGTGGTGGTGGTGGTGTGTGTGTGATGAGTGCAGGTTCTTTTGATGCGGGCACCGCAGGATGCTGCTTTCACGCACGGCAGACACAGAGTGCAGGCCAGGCACTCGTTCGTCCATGGTCGTCTCAAGGCAAATGTCTACATGCATGGCCAGCGTGCTGGGGCGAGGTAAGCAAGCAAGCAGCTGGTGCGCGCCTGCAGGCGTGCATGCACCAAGGCCCTGCTGTGTATGTGGCAGGCAGGCGGCACTCACCAACGCCAGCTTCTGCTTCTTGGGGGTTGCTTGAGGGCTGGGGGGGGGGGGGTGCCACGAGGGCAGTGGAAGGGCAGCAAAGCAGGTCAGAAGTGACTAATAAGATGCATTGGCCGTGGAGACAGCTAAACTGAAGGGGCGCATGCGCATGCATTGTTGACACAAGAAACGCATCCACAAACGCTGAAGTAGAGTAGAATGGACCGGGCGCTGGGCACACAGTATGTTGTGAGGACGGGCACAAACGCTGGGATGGCGGCAGGATTAGCTCGCGGTAGATAGGGTGTCAACACTTGGCAGGCTGATGTGGGGAAGGCTTGCGTGTTTGCAGAGCGGGGCCCGCCGTTGCACAACAGTGTGCCATTCCTATAACTGCTTGTGCGCCATCTGTGTCCTGATGCACCCTTGGCCCCCAAGCCACGCATGCCATTGCCTGCCAGCGCACCTGGCACACGTGACCCCGCCCAGCATGTTGACAAGTAGCAGTACAGCCACCACAGGCATGATCGAGATCCGTCTACACCGCATGTTGGGCCTGGAGACGTCGAAGGGGAACAACTTGGGCGTCGATGATTCGAGCCGACGAGATCGTTCGCTGCCAGTGTGGGCACTGTGTCGATTTGCAGCGTGGACCGTTTCAATCAGCTGCTACTCTTTGCCCCTGCTTGTGTTTGAGTTTGCTTAGCAAGTTCAGCGTGATCCAAGGCTCATGCGATGTGAACGATGTTCGCCTTACTCATCACCTGAGCCTGGGTGGCCCAGCTCCAAACGAACACACGAGCCCGCTTACAGGTTCAATTCATTGATAATTTCAGGGCTGACGCGTGGACTCAGGGGTCCAGTCATGACCATCGCGCCTGGGGCTACCATGAGTACGGTACTGTCCACCAACACGTGATCAAGCCAGCATGTTACGCCCCTCGAAACGTGCGTGTTTAGGGTGCCTGAGCCCACCAATCAGGGAAGAGAGGCACGCTGGTATTTTGTGGGGTTTTTGGTGGCTGCAATGCCGCCGCGGCAGGGTTGGAGGGTGTCGATTACACGGTTCACCAGGGATGAGACCCCGATCAGTACTGGTGTCGCCGGTGACTATGCAACCTTCTTATCATACCATGCTTGCATGCTGAAAAAAAACTCGGGAAGTACAAATATCAGTACACATGTGCACGTGTGCCCGGTGGCAGCGAGGCGTTGTAGGGGTGCGATTGCAAACTTGTGCTGCTCCTCATGCGCATCAGGTGACATCTACTGCCCACTGGGCTGCCAGCCGTGGCGGCCCTGCCGCCCCAGTACTCTGGAGCCCATCTTTGAGCGCAAAATCATCAGTCAGAACGGCTACCGAGCGCAGAACTCATCAGTCCGCGAGTTAGGGCACGACGTTCAGACGGCGGCCTTGCCTGATGCCGCTCAGCCAGTTCTGCGCTTGGGGCTGGCGTCCCGTGTGCCTCTTCCCCCCGGCACCTGTACCTTGAGTCATGAAGCACACACTGATTGCAAATCCCAATGACGTGCCCACACCCTTGCCACCGATTCGTACAGAGGATTACATAGAGGTGCAAAGTTTACAGCAAAATCTGTGTGCATGCATGCGTGCAAGCACGCGTGCACCGGTGTACATACATGCATGCATGCAACCAAGCATGCATGTATACGTGTGTACATGCGTCTCTGCAGGGGAGGTGTGTGAGGCATCAGCCCGATCACCTAGCATCCCCCACCCCTCACATGATGCGAATTGCTGCATATTCAGGGGAACGAAGCGGTTGATTGGCGGCTCACCTGGCGCGAGAGAAATCGACCCCCCTTTACTTGATGCCAGCCAGGCGTGCGCATCATTTCTCCACCATTTGCCTGGCTGGGCGCGGGATTTGCTGCAGCGGGCGCGCACCTGCTTGTTTTGCGGGAGCCAAGGGAGGGCTAGGGACAGCAAGGGGCTGCAGATGCCAGCGGCGCGTTGCAGCATGGCAGTTCTCAGGGACTTGAGGTGCAGGATGTGTGCATGGCTGTGTTGCCTGGAACACCGCACGCAGTTCAACGCCTCGGGTCACCTGCACAGCCGCATGGCCGGCGGCGCTCCTGGTGGTGGGCAGCGTCTGCCTTGACATTACCGATGGGCGCTGGACTCGATGTGGCGCCGCCAGGGCGAGGGTGTCGGTTTACCGTGTATGGCAGGTGGCAACACGGATGGCGCGCTGGGGCCGACGTCAAGTCATTGAATTGAGACGCGGAGCGAGGACCAATAAGCAATTGTGGCCCAGCTGGAGTCCCCACTGCGGGGCGAATTGACGGTGGCGGCGCATCCGTGCTTCGGGACGCAGCTGCACGACTTCAGTCTGCGCTGGCGCGGCGGGGGGGGGGGTTTGGACTGGAATGTCCGTTTGAAAGAACAGTTTCATGTTCTGACTCCAAAGCGCTTGCCACAAGGGGAAGATATTTTGCCAGAGGGCGGATTCTGTCTTGAGTTCCCCCTGGCAGCTTCAACCCACCACTGGTGCGCGTCCCAACCAATCCTCAAGGCCCCTCCTCTGGAACCTGGAGGCGGTCACAGCCAACGCATGGTGGCCCCACATCCATTGCGCCACACGCTCACCTGCGTCCATGCTGCTGCTCGGCGCGCGGGACTGCCACGAGCTGATAGCGCCTGACAGGCGGCACCCTTGGCAGGCCTTGTGCATGTTGATTTTGGCAGCCCTAGTCCGAGTGGACGATGTTGACCTGCAGCAAACGCCCGTCACATGCGAGTGCCCCCTTGGTGTTGAGGGGCACCCTTTCACCACCCACCCAGCAGCCAACTATGGGTCGGTGGATTGAGCAGCAGTGCAGCACAGCAAGCCTGCCACTGGTAGGGCAGCCGCAGACAAAACAACAGCGCTGGCGACCACCCTCGCTCCGCAACAACGTTCAAAGGGCCAACACTGCATACCCCGCAAGGACTGATCGATTACTGCCCACGCAGGCGCTGGCAGGTGGGACGGACCGGCCACACCCGCAGCCACAGCAAGCGGCTTGATGTCAACCAGTCAAAATCAACCCTGTAAAAGCAATCCGTGCCGGGCCCCAAGCCGTCCCCAGCTCAAACCCAATGGGAGGAGAGCAAAGTGAGCATGGACGCGCTCATACCCCCTACCTGCGAACCATGCTTCACGCAAAGTCCAGCGCCCGCCGCCGCCCGCCAGCCTTGCGGATTGAACGGCACACGTGTAACGGGTTCGGGCTCCATATAGAGATCCGAGGCCCTCCGGGACATGCTTGGCATCCGTTTTGGCGCAGTGGTTACGCGCCTCGACGCGCGCCGTGCTGTCAACCCCCAGGCCGCGCACGCCGCGCGGGGTGCCACCGCAGCTGCCACCTGAGCCACAAAAATGGCGCGGCAAGACCTGCAAACACGGCACACCAGCCCAGGTTGAACCAGGGATACGTGGAGGGATGGCGCATGCATTTGACTCCACTTCGCGCAAGCCGCACGCCCAGCTTCCTAAGACGCGGCACCGCCCGGGCGGCCCTTACTTGGCCTGTTGTTTGGGGTGCGGTCGTTTGGCCGCCCATCCGCCTGAGGGACGGTGATCACCATCATTCCAGGGGCACGAGCCGTCGCGTGTCCGCCTCACCTCCCTCACAGAGGCCACGCAGCATCTGCAAGCTGCGCAGGACTGCCTCATCCCCAGCC